AAAAAAAAAAAAAAAAGAAAAATTAAGAGAGGATGTACTGAGGTTATTGGTGCCTAAGTCTGAATTATAGGTTGGTATTTTTAGAGAAAGTCATCTGCTATTAGTTAATCAGTCTTTGGATGAGAAGAGTGACAAAATAAAACTGAGCATGTTGATGTTATGTCGTATTAAGGTGAATTTAAGGTCATGTATTTTTAGTCCAGCATCATCAAATGGTATTCCCTCGTCATCAACCACCCCCTCCCCGCAGCCAAAAAGAAAAAGAGGATAATAGAGACAAATTAAAACGCAGAAGAAAGGAAAAAGAAAAGTATAAAGTTAGAAGATGAGATAAGGAAAAAGATGGCTTAAAGGATACCACTAATCATGACTGTGCTTTTTGACAAGATGAAGAATTGAGGATTTTGCATTTTCATTCAACTTAGGTGTAGGTGCTTTAACCGTCATTATTTTGTGCTCTAAAATGTCTCAAACTACTAGACCTGTAAAAGCTAGAATAGCAGATGGTAAAAGAATGTTGCTTCCGTTCATATAGTTTTAAGGAGAACATTGTCTCAAGAGTCCGTATCAGTCTTATATGATTGTCTTCATAAAAAAAAAAAGCTTTATATGATTATTTGCGAGCTCAAAAGCTTTGAGCTGAGTCGAAGCTCAAAGCTAATATATCAGCTTAGCTGCTATTATTGTTTAGTGCAACCCTCTTCACAATTGACCCATGGGCGATGAGCCTTATTGCCATGTTGGCCTAATACTGAAATGCGACCTATTCCTACTTATGTTGCACCTAGTTTGAATGCTTAAGCTCGCTTCAACCGAGCCTTTAAAAATGCTGCTTAGATGCATAAATGTTATGCATCTGGTGCCTTTGAGTTTATCATCCATATCTTATTTATGTGGAACTCTTATTGCCTTCTCTTATTTTCGATGGCCCTAGCTAATTCTTCCAAAGTTAATGCGAAAAGAGAGGAGAAATAAAGAAAGCTTTATGCTTGGTTTTCTAATTTAGTATGATATAATCATCAGGAATATATTTTTGATGATTCTCTTGGTTTTCAACGACGACACAATTATTAAGAATAGCACAATCTTCTTTACACAATGTTCTTGCCACTAATGTGGTTTCTTGAAAAAACACCCAACACGGGTGTGTTAGTCATGAACTTGATTAAAGAACCCGAGTTTAAAACACACCCCTATGTGTGCATTGGACATTAGATCAAAGCACACATAATGATTAACTCACAACAACACTACTTAAGAATATCGTGTAAAATATTCTCGATGATTTTCTTGATTTTTTGCACGTAAAATACTTAAAATACTTGTTATGAGAACATTAAAGGGTTAATTCTTAGCTGCTTGGAACTTTTCTGGATGTGCGATATGCACCGTCTTTTCCAATTTATTGTACATCAACAAGTAGTTTCTGGGGCACCATTAAAAGTTTCTTCATTACGTTTTTTCTTGCTGCTTTTCTGATTTTGTAACTTCTACAAAAATTTGTCCTGCTTCTTGGAAATTCTCTTGTAAATTACTTCTGGACTAAAGTAAATTTACATACCAACTGTAATACAGCTGAATCAGGTTTCCCAAAATGTGCAGTCATTAAATGTCTATTAAAGGCAAGAATTGATGCAGGAATAAGACAACAAGACGTAGCTGCTTATGCCTATTGAGAAAGCCCCCTTTTACTCTTGTTGAAGTGTGTGACCCTCATCTAAAGCTCAAGCTGTTAGAGAGAACACACTTTTATTTACTTAATTATGTCTTCAACAAGCTCCCTCTCGTGCGGGCTTGATTCTTTTTGATGAGCCAAGCACGTGAAAAATTATTTTTGATATTGGGCGGCGGTGAGACTTGAACCCAGGACCTCTGCATGTTCTGATGATAAATGGACCTTGGACCTAACTCAACCCCAAAAGCTAGCTCATGAGGTGATAATTGCCAAAGACCATATAAGGAGCTCGGGAACTCCACATCCCACTGATGTGGAACTCAACAACTCTTGCATTCTCTTGAAATGGAATCTTTTTTCCAAAATGGAGAAGCTCCTTTACACTCTTTTTTCCAAAATGGAGAAGCTCCTTTACACTTACATTTTCCTTCATTTGAAAGACAAATTAATGCCCTATACCCAAATTTTAGGTGCTAAAGTTCAACTACCTTTTAATGCTTGGTTGAAAGTTGATTTTGAAAGATATTCAGCCTCTAGGGGGATAGGTAAACTTCCTGGGATATACTTTGGTTAGAAGTAATGTTTCTGTTTCAAGCATAGATTGTTGGAATTCTTGAAAGATGAGCTACCCTTGGTCTGTCAATATAGCGGAACACAGATAATATTGTGGTCACAATTAATAAAAAAAAGAAGTTTTACAGGTTCCGGCTTTTGAAGTTTAGCTTCAATCGTTTTCCCTTGATCTAAGTCCAAGTTTTGAGTAGGCATTTGGGATTTAGATGTGAGCTAGTGTGTATTACTCAGTTTGTCAATACGGGTAGACGACTGAATATCAATAGTTGCCTTATCGTAGACTTTCTCCTCGAAGAAAAAGTAATGTGCATAAAAATGTGGGTTTGTCCACTATCTTGTTATTCATGTCTTTCTTTCCACATGAGTAATCCTGTTTATTTGTTTTGTTCCAGAACTCCTCATCTCTTTGCAATTGTGATGCGTCTATGCTGTGACTAGAAAACTAAAATTGTATGCCTTCTTTTGTTCTGTACGCTACTTCAGTGCCTGGAATTGGAAAGGCTTTCAGTTCAGGTCTTTTAAGGATAATAAAGTTCCAGCTGTGCTCCCGAAAGATGATGAAGAGAATAGAAACTTGTAAACTATATTCATTTTACTTTGAGTTAATACCCTCAAACCCGCCTAAACTATACGATCTTTGTCAGTTCCCTACCTAAATTATCGACTGTCCCCAAAACCCCCCGAACTATATCCCCCTTCATAATAACCCACCCCCCTCTCCCGGTTGCTTATGTGGCATATTGTGTGAAATAAATCGCCTAAGAGCGCGTGAAGGGTGACAATAACCATTAAAATGGGCCCACCTGACAACAACTTACGGCTAATTAGCCCCTCTTTTTAAAAAAAAAATATTTTTTCATCTTTTTCTTTATATTACACCTTTACACCTTTCTTCTCCATTATTTCACCTTTCTTCTCCATTTTTTCACCTTTCTTTTCCATTTCTTCATCTTAATCCATTTGAAATTCTCTCTCTGTTGATTGAGTTTATTATTTATCTTTCTCATTTTATCCGTCCTTCATTGTTACCCAAATTTATTTGAACACCCTTTCAACTAAAAAGACACACTTCTATTTCTGGAAACACCCTGAATGACGTGCTTTTACTGACATACAAATCTCATGGTATTTTAAGACCACACCACACAAATTGAAGCGGAGGAAGTACTGCTTTAAAACAGCTTCTGCAAAAAGTGGATATCTTTTGTTTCCATTGAATCATAAAATGGTGCAAACACAATTCCGATGCAATTTTTGACTGGGCTTACAAATTAGTTACCCAATTTTACCTCCATAAGGACAAACCAAATTAGGAATATCATTTCCATGGGCACTTTCCAAAAGGATTGCAGAAACTAAAAAGGGTCAGATGACAACTTACAAGAAACCTTATTTGTGCTATTTAAGCAAGAAATTCCACTAAATAGTTTACATTAGAGGGAATACAAGAGAAAGGGAGTAAGTTTTTAGCCTCATCTGCTCTCAGTTACACAAAAAATGGTTCCAAAGTGAAAATTTGGAACACCAAATGCAACAACTCCCAACCAAGTAACCATTTTTCCAGTTCTTGATCAAATAGCAAAACCTCTACCCTAAATAAATTAAGCACTTTTCAATTTTCTGTGTTCTGTTGCTTCTTTCAACACAAACCCAGAAAAAATCAAACAGAAAAAACACAATTTTTAGATTTAAAAAAAATCGAAGAATTGATTGAACTGAAAATGAAGCAAATTTAAAGGGAAAGCAACTATATTTACAGTTCTTGATCAAACAACAAAACCTCTGTCTTATAAAAGTTAGGAACTTTTTCAATTATCTGTCATATGTTGCTTCATTTCAAGAATAGGATATGTATTGAAGCTATCTTCTTTAATAATCTTCAGAATCTTCAAACAATCTTCAGAACTAAATGAATCTCCAGTACCCTAAACCCTAATTTTTTACACTGATTCACTAGCAAAACCCTATATTTACTCCCGATTCGAAATAGCAGCAACAATAAGAAGAAAAATCGATGGTAGCAATAATAAGATTAAGGTAATTAAGAAGAGAAATCGAAGGTGTCTCTCATCTCCGATGAGAGAAGTTTTCGGATGAAAGCAAAGAGACCATTTTTACTGAGAAGAAATGACTGACTAGTAAGTTAAAATCCCCTTTTTAATTTTTACCACATAATTAAATTAATGTATGCTAATTAAGCCCGTTTTAAGATTAAGGTAATTAATTATCCACGTGGCATGTCACATGGCAGGTTTTAAAATTTATTTAGAGCGTGTATCATACGCACTAGTAAGATTGAGACGGGGGGTTTTTATTATGAAGGGGGATATAGTTCAGGGGGTTTTGGGGACATTCGATAGTTTAGGTAGGGAACTGACAAAGACCGTATAGTTTAGGCGGGTTTGAGGGTACTACTTGTTGTTTCTATATCTTCTTCCTTAACATCATATGTAGCTTTTACCTTTCTACTTATTCAGAGAACAAGTAGTTTTATATATGGTTGCCCTGAAAAGGTTACTGATGTTGTCTCTGGGGCTGTTATTATTATTTCGGGATGTTGCATTGAGGATTGTGCTATTTCCTTCTTTTTTTCCTTTATGTAACTTACCTCTCCTCCGGATTTGATGTCCAGCAAATTGTCCCACCAGTCTTGCACTCTTTTTCGCACCAAGACAGCAGAGTTCGTTATTATGCATGTGAAGCTTTGTATAACATAGCGAAGGTGAGAAAGATAAAGGAACCTGTACTACGCATGTTCTTTTGGGTCTTGCTGTTTGGACTTCATTTTTGCTATTTTTATAGGTTGTAAGGGGAGATTTTATCATATTCTTCAACCAGATCTTTGATGCTTTGTGTAAACTTTCGGCTGACTCAGATCCCAACGTGCAAAGTGCTGCTCATCTTCTAGATAGACTTGTGAAGGTAATGCATCACTTCATTTGAATGTTGGTTAGAGAGGGAGGAGTATGTAAACGTCTAGAAACAAAATGTGATGTTTAGATGATAAGGAAATCCAGTTGTTCGATATATCACAACAAGGAGGAGGATAGAAGGTGTTGCAGAGGGAAGGAGAGTCTAAAGATGAGGATTGAGCGTTGTTGGTTTCTTAGGGAAGTTTAAATGGTGTAAATTTACTAATTTGTGGTAGAAAAGTTGGGTGTCCTTCTCTTTCATTTCCTTTTTCCCGATTCTTTTTACTTCCTTATGGGAGAGTGAACGAGTTGCTTTAATCAAAAGATATGCACAGTTTTGGTATTTTGATTTATCAATTTTGAGTGATAACATTGTGCTACAACTTTTGTGGGGATGCAGGATATTGTCACAGAGAGTGAGCAATTCAGGTGAGTTTGGGTTGTTGGAAACCAGTATATTCATACTGGAATCAAATTTTAATTTTCTCTTGTTGCTGAGGTATTATTTGACAGCGTTGAATTGTGCATTTTATTTCTTATACAGCATTGAAGAATTTATTCCATTGTTGAGAGAACGAATGAATGTCCTCAATCCTCATGTCCGCCAATTTCTTGTTGGGTGGATCACAGTCTTAGACAGTGTTCCGGATATTGATATGCTCGGTTTTCTTCCTGATTTTCTTGATGGTAATTGCTTGTATTTCAATGTCAAACATTCTAGCTAGTAGCTGTGCAACTCAATGTTACAAAATTGTAAACTCATGTGGTCTCTCTTGACTTGATGAAGTGCAGGATTATTTAATATGCTGAGTGATTCTAGCCATGAAATACGGCAACAGGCTGATTCTGCACTTTCAGAGTTTTTAGAAGAAATTAAGAATTCTCCAGTAAGATCTCTGTCATGTGTGGTATGTTAAACTTTATAATGACCTTGTGCTGAGCTCCCGTAGGAAAAAATATTGTAAAACTTGTGCAACCCTTGCCTGCCTACTGGTATTGATGAGGCGTCAGATAAAAGATATCTGAAAATATGTTTGTCTCTCAACTTGCTACTTGAATTTACCAATTTTTATTTAGTAACCGTGTTTAACTTTCCATCTGTATAGAAGATGGTAGTCTTTAGCTCTGTTTTTGTATTTGCATCCTTTTGGAATATTAAGAATTCCTTATTGACAAAAATCTGAAATAAATTTTTTTTTTCAAAAACTGATTTTTTTTGTCCTTTGTAAGTTTTCTAACTTGAGGAATGCTACTCTTTAAGTCTGTAGATTATGGCCGCATGGCTGAAATACTAGTGCAAAGGGCAGGCTCGCAGGATGAATTTACTAGGCTGACTGCTATCACTTGGGTAAGTACGTTGATATTTATGTTGTTCGTGAACCATGTTATCCTGGTGTAAAGAATATGCTAGTATTTTAACCTGTCAAATATGTTTGAATAGACTATTTTGTGTTGTGCAGATAAATGAGTTTGTGAAACTTGGTGGAGATCAACTTGTCCCTTATTATGCTGACATTCTGGGAGCAATATTGCCTTGTATATCTGATAAAGAAGAAAAAATTAGAGTTGTAAGTGGAAATATTCCCATTTTTTATTGTGCTCATGTTTCTTTTCCTTGTTGTGCTGCCTTTTTCTTCACTGTTCTTACTTCTTTGTGTTCCTTCTTTGTCCATCGTTGTCACTTTTCTATTCTTCTGTGTTTCTCCCTTTTAGGTTTCTCGTGAAACAAATGAAGAACTTCGTGGAAATGAGGCTGATCCAGCTGAAGGATTTGATGTAGGAGCAATCCTCTCCGTTGCTAGGAGGTATGCTGTTACTTATTGAGGGATATTTTGCTGTTGTTAAGAAGTTGCACTGTCTTGATACTACATTAAGGTCCTATCTCATTTGGATTCTGTAGCAACCATAGACTTTTGGAAATGGTCATTAGGGTTTGGACGCTGGAGCCTCCAACTTCCAGCAATGCCTTGTAAAATAATTTAGGGAACTAAAGCTCCTTATGAGGGTGCTCATTTTCTGGGTGTTAGCTCATGATGCATGAATCTGCAAAAAGCAAATGCACTGCTTTAAAAAAAAGAAGAAAATGCACTGCAGCAGATGCTTTTTGTTTGGATTTTTTGCTTTGTACTGTAATTGGATAATTTGGCACCTGCTTTCGAATAAAATTGCGGTGCGACTGGTGATGCCAAAGACTATGAAAGAAGTCTTGTGCTGCTGGATGAGATACAATTGTAGAAACCCCGCTTGTGTGTGCTGGGTGATTCTGAAGGAGAGGAAGCAGAGATACTTGAGGGAATATACAGTTGTATATGTTTTGAAATATAGATGCCTAAATCTATTAGCTCTGTGATGTAGTTTTCAGTTTTCACAATGAATATGAGGAAAATGGTATAATTCATTAGTTATATACAACAGTGAATGTTTCATAAATGGTTACTATCCTTTTTTACCGTCCAGACTATCTTTCTTATATTAATAAATTTTTTAATATATACAAATAAGCTTTTTTCCACTATAAAACTAATTTAATTAAAAATGAGATTGAATTATTTAAGAAAACCAAAACCTAACAGAGTTCGTGATAAGAATAATTATATCCAAGTGGCTATATGTTACATGTAATTTGATTCTAGTTAACTTTGTGTCTTAATTTGTTTATCAGGCAGTTGTCTAGTGAATGGGAAGCAACACGTATTGAAGCATTACATTGGATGTGGACCCTGCTGAATAAACATCGGTCAGAGGTGAAGACCTAAAATTTAATGATGCTCACCTTCTTTATTCTTTTGCACAATGAGAATGCTCTCTCATTAGTTCATATGAGTAGATATCTGAAAACTACACTGGTTTATCAGTGGGGATAGGATACGGTAGTGTTATCTATTAATGCTGTGTGATGGAGCCAGAGTTGCTAAAAGTACTAGCTCATGTGTTGGTGGGATGCTTACTGATTAACAAAGTCATAAGGTTTTGAAAAATGTTTTCAACAAGAGAGGTCACTAGTCATGTTTGAAACCTACAACTCTTTTATTTTTCACAATTTTGTACTTTTCATTTAGAAAGTAATTGAATCTGCATAGAACGAGCCATGAGCTTTACAATGAGAGAAGTATCGATTACTTGCTCTTTGTGGTTGTCCCTTCACTCTCTCTTTCTCTCTCTCTCTCTCTCTCTGGGATGAGACAGAGGAGCTTTGCTTAATCCATTAGGTGTATACATTACAAATTCGATTCAACTTTTAGAAGTAAACTTTTTATATTTGGTCTAGGAATAAGTTCATTGATAACACTCAGATTATGCAGCATATCCTATTATCTGTCAAGCAATATATGTTTTGTTGTTAACATTTTTATGGTTTCAGAACTATGATCTGATAAGTAAATGCTTATCTTTCTAATATTTTGAAACAGGTCTTGGTTTTTCTGAATGATGTCTTTGACACTCTCCTAAAGGCGCTGTCAGATTCCTCCGACGAGGTATCTCCTATTGCGTCACTTCTTTTTCATTGAGTTTGTCATGCTGGTTTGCTTTGATAGGTCTAGTAATTGTTCTAGCTTCTAGTCAACAAAGGTATATCTTGAGGAAAAATGTTGATGGGCAATTGGTAATAGCCCATGTGTTTTTGTGGTAGCACTGCGGTTGTGTTTTCCGGGCATTTGCTGACTTTCAAAGGTTCACTTAGATTTTTGTGTATGAGCTGCGGCCTTTGTTTGGTTCCCCCAGTGTTGTTTCTTGTCGAACTTTGGCTGTAATTCTTTCCAGCCCTTTTCTCACCCTTTATACCCTGCGATTTTCTTTCGCACCCTTTTCTGGAAACTTTCACAACTGTACATGACTCCCTCATTCTAATTTCTAGATCGTTCTTAACTTAAAGTTTAGTACTGTTGTAATGCTGGTAAATATTTGCTGCTTGCATGATACCTAAAAGTTCTGCATTTGTGCTATTTGGTGTTTGCTGATTCATTGCCACGAATATTCTCTTATTTTGGAGGATGAGTGCTACGTGCAACTTATGCTTGACCCATAATAATCTGTCTTGAAATGGAAATGAAACTTAAAGGTGATGTAAGATAATGAAGTAGAATTTTGATAGACACATTGCATCTCAGATTTCTTCTTCGCCCAAATTTTGTTTGAGATTGCTAAAATTATCTTTCTACCTTCAAGTTTAACTACTAGTCTCAATGAGTCTACACATTCATTAATTGGGAAGGTGATCTTAGAAGGTGCTTCCTGTTATTTGCTTGTTCAGAGAGACTTCTTTAAATTGTCTTCCAGGTAGTGCTCTTGGTGCTTGAGGTGCACGCATGCATAGCCGAAGATCCGCAACACTTCCGCCAGCTAGTTGTTTTCCTAGTTCACAGCTTTCAGCATGATCACTCGCTTCTGGAGAAGTAAATGTTATGCTATATTCTTTTTTGATTTCTTGGGGGCAATTTATGGTGTCTTTTGTTGTTTGGTTTATTGAAGAATTGAGTTTTCCAAATCCCTTTCAGACGTGGAGCTTTGATAATTCGACGGCTATGTGTCCTTCTAAATGCTGAAAGAGTTTACCGTGAACTGTCCACAATACTTGAAGGGGAATCAGATTTGGACTTTGCATCTGTGATGGTTCAGGTTGTACTTCTTGCCCATTTATCAGGAGAATATCCCTGTTTCCAATATATAGAGTGAAAGTGTAACGACACAGAGCTCACACTTTGTTTTATTCAATTAAATTGTATTGATATCACAGAACTGTCAAGCTCAGTTTTGAGATATTGTCAACTGCGGCTCATGTTTAAAGTATGGTGCTTAATGTTGTCATTGCTGTAAGCTGAGTGTGCTGGTGTCTGTTTCAGGCCTTAAACTTGATTTTGCTTACTTCAACTGAGTTGTCTGATCTTCGGGATCATCTTAAAGGATCACTTGTCAATGATGCCGGGAGAGACTTGTTTCTTTCTTTGTACGCATCGTGGTGCCATTCGCCAATGGCAATGATAAGTCTCTGCCTATTAGCTCAGGTAAGCTTGTATAGCCTGCAAGTTTTCCGGCTTTTACTCATAGCTGTATCAAGCATTTTGTTCCCTTTGTTTCACAGTGAATATGAATCATCAGCTCTTTCTCTGTTACAGGCATATCAGCATGCAAGTTCTGTTATTCAGTCTTTGGTTGAAGAAGACATCAATGTGAAGTTCTTAGTGCAGCTACACAAGTTGATCCACCTTCTGGAGACTCCAACCTTTGCTTACCTTAGGCTGCAGGTGTTTTGAATTTCTCCTTTTTTTGAATTATCAAACCTAGAATTTTGAATTCCTTTATCATTTGTGGTTCTTTATGATCTAGATATAAATAAAATGTATGTTTTAATTCCTTTTGGCCTGGGGGGTTGTCCTGGAAGATGAAATCTAGCACCAGAGTGTTTCGTAACTTTAAGGATATATGGTTATATCTTAAGCTGCAGATTGAAGGAAAAGGAAATACATTTTCTTTTCTTTTCATAGTACATTGTTCTAACTTTTTGGCTCGTAAAAAGCTCTCTTCTTTTCGTGTAGCCGACCCCAACTTACTTGGGAATTGGGATTGAAGTGTAGTTGTTGGTCATTTGTAAAAGTGCTCTTCTTTGCATTTGCGTGTTCTCTGGAGTGCGCACCAAAGTCTTGTGAAAAGGCCAGTCTCCATCTCGCATACATGTTAAGAAGGGAAACCGGATTGGAATTGAGAAGCATTGCGTTATTGCCAAACTATCTAGATTATCTGCTTACTGCACCAATAGGAGAAATCCTGTACTATATTCTGACATTGGTTTTAACAGACTTCAAATTAATTACCTCCCAAGGGAGGGAAATAAAAATTGGAACAGAGGGGGGGGGNTTTTTCATTGTGCCTTTGTCAATTTCCAGATGTCTTTTGGAGAGGCTGCAAACTTCTAATTGCTTGTTCTGAATACCCAATACTGATTTCTTTCGGTTAAAGTACGTTAAGTCCCTTTACTCTAGTGGTTTGTTGGTGCTCGAATCAAACCTTGTTAGGAACTGCAAATGCTATGGTTCTCTAATATCTATGACTCAGTGTTATCAAAGGCGAAAAGTGCAAAAAAACTCTAATGAAAAAAGGCGCGACCGGAGAAAAATTAAAAATATATACATGTAGTCCAAGACCAATAATTATAAGCATGAATAACAAATACATGGACAAAAAAATTGAAAAAAAAATTACGATAAAGTTAAATATCAATTGTTTAGTATCGCCTTTTCAGGATTACATTCATTGGCAAGGAAAAGTATGCCTTAGAGCCTTGATGCGACACTGAAGCGCATGTAAAGCGAGGCGAAGCGCTCAACATGTTTTGAGCCATGCTTCAGGGCTTAAGCGCGCCTTTGACAACAATAATGTCTGTGCTTGTGTTTCTACACGGAAGTAACCGTTGATTTCTTCAACTACTTGGAAAAAAAAAAGCAATTTATCATCTTCCACTTTACCTTTTTATGAAATCCGTGGTATTTATATCCGTCCAAGACTGAATACACCCTATACGATTATAAGGGATGTAATGTAATTTAACTCCTAAAATTGGAATGTAATGCTGGCTATTTTACTTTTATTCAACAACTCCAAAATTTGAATATCTCCTAGGTGGCACTATGAATCTTCTATTGGTTTTCTAATAGTTCTTTTGTTCTCAATGTGATGTACAAGCAAGTTTATTGGAATTTTCTCTTTTTCACAAATTAGTTTCCATAGGAGTATCTTAGTGGTTCTTCTTCTTGCAGCTTCTTGAACCTGGAAGATACATCTGGTTGTTAAAAGCATTGTATGGTTTACTGATGCTGTTACCGCAGGTATCTTGTGAATTATTTTCTCCATTGGTAACCTGTAAAGATTATTGCGACCGTTGTTATTGCGTCAACGGTCAACCGCATCTCATTTGTGATGCATGCCTGGATAAGTTTGCAGTTGTTGGATTTGCTTCTGCAAGTTGAGTTTCTGTTGAATCATATGTTTAAGATAGTGGCAGAAGTCAATCACTGGGTCATGTTAGTAGTTCAATCCACTTATCAGTCTATTATTATATCCTGAGAGTTAGTATGTCATGGCTATTTTCCAGCTTATACTTGAAATAATCACTCATGAGTTGTTTTTTATTTTTATCTTGAAAATAATGGTGGTGTTGGGGCAGATTGGGCGCACCTTGATTATTCCACCGGATATCTGTTATCTCCTTCCAACTTATGTACCACGTAACTCTGCCTTCCAAGACTTAGGCGGATGGGAAGAAATCACCTAGTTTTTTTTGTCTTCTCTGGAATTTGCTCATAAGCTGGTTTTTTTGTTAGTAATACAGTGAACTCTTTACAAAAGCTTATCCAATTGAGTTTTCCTGATCGTCACTCTTATATACACAAGTTAAAAGTATTAAGCTGCACATAAAGTTGTTTGCTAATATAGATATTCTTTATCAATTGATGTAGCAAAGTGCAGCCTTTAAGATTCTCCGTACTCGGTTGAAAACTGTTCCTTCATACTCCTTCAAGGAAGAGCGACCTGTACGAACATCATCCGGGATTCCTTTTTTCAATGGGGGAGGTGGATCACAAATTTCAGAGGATTGCAAACCGAATGAGAATTCACATGTTATGCATAATGGAATAAACTTTGGTTCGAGGCTGAAGCACTTTAAGCAAATTCAGCAGCAGCATCGTTTGCATTCAAAGTCAGAAACTCACTCACGTTTTTGTTCGGCTTCATCAATGAAGGTTCGTGTGCTACATATTGTCTACTTATTTTTCTGATAATATTTTGGTTGCATATTAAACTCTGATACTTGTTCAAAAGTTAAGTAAAATACCTGAGGTTAGGAATGTCCTAGATGTTAAGGTATTTGGTTATTTTCACCGCAATGCACTGCTTATCTGTCTATCTGGGTTGAGTATGGAAAAAAGAGTTCTTAGATAATTTGGTGCCAAATGTGCCAATGACGAAAGATGGACATATTTGGTGTGGGTTGTGTAACTTGTGACTAACAAGTGCTTTTAGTGGGGGTTGTATGTGCTTCGTTGTTGCGAAGTTCCATATCTCTAATATATGTGGTGTGTATATGCCCGGCTAGCTTCTGGCCCAACTCCAGTTGGCGCATAAGTTCAGAACTCCGGGGAGTATGGGCTAGCCTTTTTATTCTCCTTCCAACATAAATTCTAGGCTTTGTCCATGGCAGGGTTCAAACCCATGACATGCACCTAACTCATACCTCACATGCTTGTAATCCTTACCATTGAACCAAAGCCCTTGGATCCGTATGCCCTATTATGTTGAATAGACCTTTCTTTCTTTTCTAAAGTTTGCTCTTTGTTCGCGTTGGAATCTTAGCTTGAACCTATCTTAATTCAGGAGGAGGTATAAAGACCAGAAGAATCAAAGCAATTTTGACGATCATCGTGTAGAGATGCAGAGCATTTGCAACTTTGATTGTTTTCCGTGGCTCCTAAGAGAGGTTTCTTATACAACAATCTTGATTTGCTTGCTTTTGATTTTTTCGAAGCAAATTCAATCTTTGTTAAGTTGTAAATTGTTATATACTTTTAGTTTGTTTTGTCAAAATTCATAAGGGTTGGGATGTAAGGGGGGTATATTTTTAGCTTGGATATTTCCGAGCTACTTTATATTTAAATCTTTTAGATAATATTTAAAGGTAAAATTTGTCCATGTGGTTATGTTATTTTTGTTGAATACCATATGGGCAATGAGGTAGATATGTAGGATATAAAAAGGTTTATTTTATTCATAATTCTTCTGTAATAAATAAAGATTCGGTTTGTGTATTATGCTTTACTCTATTGAGTGCTGTATTCCTTTTGGACGTAAATAATTCTCAAAGCTTGAGATTTGTGATATTTCTATCCCATGTTTTCGTTGAAATACCAATAAATTAGCGTGGATATGTTGATCCTAAAGAGTGTCTATTTGTGCTCAAGAATTCTTTTCTTGCAAGGAAATAAATTTTCTGATATATCATCTCCAAAAAGAAATTTAAAACAAGGGAAATTCATGTCAAGATTAAAAAACTTGCAAAATGTTACTCCTATTAGATTAAAGAAATTTATAAGAAAATTAAAAAAGAAATGAGATTTAAATAAAATGGAGTAGTTTAATTTTTAATTAGTTGGTTCAATTAAGCTTTGTTGATTAATGGAATACTCCTTATGTCCCATTTTAATTATCGTTTTAGTTCTTTTCATGTCTATTAAGAAAAATAATAAAAACAAGATATACTTTACTAAGACACCCCTGTTAAATGCTTAATTGAACAATATTAAAAAAATTATTACTATTTTAGTATTAAGGGTATAGTTGAAAATAATTAAAAAATTTAATTTTTTGAGCGAAAGCAACAATTAAAATAAGATGGAGGGAGTAACATATAAGTTTCCAAACAATTGACTTTAGGATTACCGTTGGAATGAGAATTGTTGCATACACCTAAAGATCACCCTTTGTTTATAGTCAAAATACTATTGAAAGATAAAATTTTATTAATTCATCAAAGTTTTACCATAGAGTAGAAAGAAAATTAGCAAGTCCATTAGCAGTAGCAAGGACTATAATTGGAAGTGCAACCACATATAGATAACCCAAAAGATTCTGCTGTGATATTGGTATGACTTTGCTTGTGTCTTTCTTGGATCCATTCCTTAAGAAAACATTAACAAAATTGTAAATCCCAAATTTTCAGTAGGTCTTCCAAACGTGATACATACATTGTTCAATTCCTGAACAAATTCCTTATGTAAATGTATGTAGACTTTAAGAAGAGTAAATTTAATTGACTCTAATAACAGACAAGTTGTGTTATTACAGTTTAAGCAATTAACTTTGATTTTTGAACATTACCCTGTCTTGATTAGTATTCAAGCAAAGCTATATACTGCTTCCGTTTTAATTCATTGATAGACTTTTATTGTTAGTCCGTTCCAAAAAAAAAAACACAATCTTATATTTGGAAACTTTTATAACCATACAAAAATAGTGAATCCATAGCTTTTAATAACACAAATTTCAAATGTCATTCCCCCCCTCCCCCCTTAAACTTTGTGTTCAATCAAATTAGCTCACATAGATTGAAACGGAGTGAGTAGTATAAGGCATAAAAGTGTTATTGTTCCGTCAGTATCCTTACAACTTGCAAACCTAGCCTTAAATTATCAAACTATTTAAATCACAGTCAAATTACATACCACTTACCAGATCCTTTTCAATGAGATATCTCTAGCTAAATTTTGTAATGTTGGATATTGTAAATGAAATTCAGATGCTTCAGTTCTCGCAAGATTATCCAAGAAAAGAGTCACTCCATCTCCTAACCATCACCCTCTATTTCACGGGAGGATAGTAACATCTTGTGGTGCAAAAATAATTAGCCATTGAGTGAATCAGGCATTCCTTCAAATTAACAAGAAAAATAAAATAAAATCCAAGCACTTAAAAATATGTCCTCTTCCAATGTCAATAATCTCAAAATCTTCACTCATATAATTGGAGCCATTATGCTATCGTTAAATCTGCCAAAAAACGAACAGAAATTATAAATTAAAAATAATAAGAAATACAACCAAATGTTGAACAAGTAAAATAGCAAGGAAAAGGTAAAACCTCTTTTGTTCAACTAATTTCCTCTCCGGTGGTGACTAGGCCTAAGAAAATTTAAGAATAAATAAAGCAATCAATAAAAAATTGAAATTATGTATTTTATTTCATTCTCTAAATTGATATTCTTTAATCTTGGTGTACCCGCTCAACTTTACATCACAATTGCAATGACACTAAAATTCTTTGTTATTTTGCAGCACATTACTGTATTAATCTATCAACGGAAATTAACTTTCATCACATTGTACTATACACACTCTTCAACAATTAGTTATTAACAAAGAGGTTAGGGAAGGAAGGACTTAGGAAATGACCAACATAGCATATTTAACCAAAATGCAATCACGCTAATCAACAAGTTGTACACAATATATTCCCAATACTCCGAAGTTAGATATTTAGAATTTATTTATATTGCTATGATTATTTCAAGTTAATAAAATGTTAGTCATGTGTTTGCAATATATTATCTTGGATCTTGTAATAAAAAACTTTATTTACTAATAAGAATATTTGAATAGTTTAATTCAAAGCCCTAAAATATTAGACAAAGTTCTACTAAAAACCTAGGACACGAGTTTCACACGTTATTTTCTATTCTTTCTCTTAGCGAAAAATTAGTAGCATTTATATAATAATCATGTCAATAAGGATAAAATAAAAAACTAAGATAATTTTAAAAAAAAAAGTGATATCTGTCGTTTTGACATAAATCAAAAGAAAATGGCACAGAAAATGGAACGGTTGTGGATGGTATTTTTGTTTTGGGTATGAAAAGAGATCCTCAATTTATAGAGGTCTATATTTTCCTCCAAGAAATGAATCTGTTAAATATGAAAAAGATCTATATTTTCCTTTTAGGAAAAATAAAATCAATTATGATAAACTATTTTTTCTTCCTTCAAAAAAAATAAAATTCAAATATGAAAAAAAATCAAGACAAATTTCGAATAAAAAACATAATTGTGCAATATTTAAAAAAAAATTACAAAAGCTTAGATGTATGACTTAATTAACAAATGTGACAGCTACATATTTGCATTCCGCAACATCCTAAACAACTCTTTCCTACTTTTTCGCCCAGCCATAACTTTTCCCCCTAAAAACTAGCTCCCATAACGTTTTTCCTAAATCTTTCTCCTAAAAATTAGATACCATAACTTTCTTCCCTTTTTATTGTATCTATCAGATATAGTGCCTGTGTATAGTCAAAACACATTAAAAAAAAAACGATTACTTTCTTCTTAAATAGTTGAAAAGTTGCAATATACATATTTAATGCATAGTTTGATATGATGTGTATTTTTTTAATAACAAATATACAATGTTTAATAGTTATATAATAATGTATTCTAGAGTTTCAGATGTGTTTATGAAAATGATATGAAAGTTTTATATATTGTATAATGGTAGTATAATAATGATATTTTGATGTTCAAATGTGTTATGTAAAGTATTTGCAAATTATATATATGGTTTAACTTTGGTATAATAATAATATATGGTATTATACTAGTATTCTAATGGGATTTGCTTTTAGATATGTTTTTATATAAGTTAATTTCTAATGTTATACATGGGATAATAATTATATATTTATGGTGTCATGATTCATCGGGTGAAGGCTACTTCATATATATATATATATATATATATATACACACACACACCAAGAAAAAATATTTCCCTATATATATATACACACACAAAGAAAACATATTTCCCTAAACACATATTTATACCATACTTCTATAGGGTATGTGTTAGATATAAAACAATTTAGACCATATACTTCAATTATATATTTTATGTGTAACAAAAATTTTTCACAAAAACTACTTGCCATTAACATATTTATCCCATAACTATACTATAAATATGTGAATGTTATCTTTATTTAAAACATAAATATAACGATAAAGATCAACATTAATCGTAAGTATGTCATCACTTGATAATTCTTTGATTCAATCACTAAAGCAACCTGATCTATTTCCCCTTTCCCCAAATAAGAGAAGACAGAAATGATTAAAAAAAAAAAGGTGAAAAAAACAATACAGTATAAGAGGACAAGAAATGAAAATAGATGATTTTATTTTTTTGCTTTGAGAAGAGGAACAAGATAATAAAAGCACTCCCTAATTTTGTGGAAGAGAGATAAATGAGTTATCAGTTACGTACTATTAAAGAGAAACAGTATTTTGGTTGAATATGCTACATTTGTTATAAAATCTGCTATTATTGAAATAATTGAAAGATAATAATATTGATATAAATACTTTCTTTGTTAGTGACCTACAATGTTAAAATCTCTAAAATGATGAGTACCACCCAGTACTGTTCCAAATTGGATAGGTGGGCTAGATAAGATAAGTTTGGAGGCAAATTTAGAAATTATTTAATGATATTATTTTCTTTCATTTTTATAATCCTGAATTATGAAATGACTCAATTCACTTCCGCAATTGTCTTCAGGTTATTGGATATACAGATGTTTTTTTTTCNCATAAATGGTTAAGGGTACGGTTCAGGAAGTAAAACTACAAAAGGTTAATTTGTCACAATATCGAAATAAGTGAGATATATCTCATCCTCTCTCTTATTTTTTTCTTTCTAGAAATAGATCTCATCCTTTAATCCCGTATTTTAAGAAATCAGTTAAAATAATATTCATGTATCTTTACAGATAAATTTTTAACAAAACTTTATCAATTTGATTTACCACAATGAATTTATATGTTAAGAAAGTCAATCTAAATTACTTCTTTAAACAATATATTAAAGTCTAGATAAATAAATCAATATAAAATCATTAGGTAATAAATAAGAAATCAAAAAATAATATTTTCCTTTAAATAGTTGAAAAAATGGGATTATGTTCCACTTGTCCTAGCCTTTAAATTACAGTCAATCCATATTTTTTGTCCGTATTGTACGGACAACGTAGTCCTTGTCGTGCATGCACGTAACGTTCGTAATATACCAAAAACATTCACTAAAATCTCAACTTCTAATTCTAAAAGGTCTCTAAAACAAACATAAATTTGAAAGATTCTTTTTAGATCCCTAATTATCTCTCTCAATTTTCTATTTAGTCTTCTTTAAAAAAAAAATCCCACAAACTCATTTTTCCTCATTCTCATCGTACCCTTTTCTTCTCTTTATTGGAAATTTCTTT